TTACGTACCAGCTATTCTCCTGAAACCTTCTTTAACTTTTGTTGCCATTTCTCTGACAGGAAAAGAAATGTATGGTCTGGCAAAAACAGAAACTATAGCTGAGGCAACTGCTTTGACAGATCTGCCTACGGACGATTCTGAAATCCCGAGACTGTCCCCTACCAGACGGAGATGAGCCCCTGTCGCCACAAAACGTAGGAACAGCAAAACTTGGAAGAGAGGGGATATTGGACTGTTCCTGTTAGTGTCAGTTTTGAGTTCCATATGGAGTCCATTGACTAAAAAGTTAATCGTAGCGGGTCGGAATCGATAGCGCTGAAAAATCTCCTCCTCCTCCAGCGTCTCCAATGGGTTGCTCCTGTCTCTAAACACTCTTGGTCGTGGTAAAGCATTCTGTCTGCGAAATCTTCTTCTCCTTCTATGCACAGCAGCCATTTTGGATGGTTGAGAATAGAGTTAAGTAACCTTTTTTGTGTACTCAAATATTTAAGAATAAAACTGAATTTGAGAATTTTTTTATTACTCAAAAGTTTTATGGCGGCGGCAGACTCTGAGAATTTGGGAGTTGAGAAAATTTTCAGTCTGGAGAACATTCTCAGACTTAAGAATGGTTTATGTCGGTGGGGCCAGGGTCCGCCGTTATAAAACATACTTAAGTCTGAGAATGCTCTCAAGTCTGAGAATTTTCTCAAATCCAAAATTCTCAGACTCAGCCACCGTCATAAAAAGTTGAGAAAAATAAATTCCTTAAACTCTGTTTTATTCTTAAGTTCTCAGCTAAGTATTCTCAAGACTTTCAAGAGTGGAGAATTCCTTTGAGAATTCTCAAAGTTTTATGCCGGCGGACCCTGATCCCACCTCTGATGTTTTTGAAGTCCGTGTTTTTTTTTTTTTATTGTTTTATGGGGTTTTGATCTTGAATACTGTTTGTGATCTCTATATGTTTCATGCATGACACGTATACATGTACGTGTTAGTCAGCATTTCAAACCTAAAATGTTACATGTATACTATACATGTAGCAGTACTGTCTAATTGATTGATTGTATGTTGTATAACCTATTTGAGATTTTTTTTACTCATAGAAACCAATGCCAAAGAGGGACTTCAATTTTAATTAAGTAATGAGCGTTTTCTATTGCGCTATCACCTATTGTAACATTGGATCTCTCCTATTTTTTTAAAATCTAATCCAAGAGATCCGTGAATTTCACTTCTAAAGCCGGGAAAGGCACTTCCAATGTTTATATGTCTTAAGTTGAACGTAGAACGTTGAACCTAATTAAACCAGAGCTGAACCCGGACCTCCTGATCATGACATGAAGTGGCCTTTCTTGTAGTAGCTCTCAAATTTTACCCATTGTTAAGAATCATATTTTACAATTTCAAATCTATTCCAAAAATATATTTTAAAACACAAAACATTAAATAGGTTCACGTAGAAAACATCAAGTAAGGGTACTTCAAAAAATTAACTAGGATTTACTTTAAAAACATTAACTAGTCAAAAAGTACCAAAATTGGCCTGATTTAAAAATAGGACAATTTTGGCTCTGTGTATATCTACAGACTATATATATTTTCAAAGCAACTTTCTTTTTTCAATATCTCTTCCATATTTTCTGTAAGGGGTCTTCAAAATAGCATATGTATATGGATGAATTTTGTAGTTTTACGGAACGTCATAATGACGTTGTGAATTTTAACACACCTTAGTTCTCATAAATAAGTGGTTGATATTAATTTATTGAGCATTTCACAAAAATGTATATTATAATATCTTACAGATAGTATTTTGATATTTTGTTTATGAAAGGGCACTTTGATTTTATAACATCAGGTGTAAACAAACTATGTACATGTGCGCGTGAAAATGACAGCGTGTCCGTTCAGCATGTGTAAATCGAGGTACACGTAATTAAATAAATAACGTTTAATTAATAATGTTTTATATTAATAAATTTATCAATAATTCACGCAACCTTTACGTTTGATATATTAATTTACTGTCTTTAACTGAATAAAACCTGAAGATTATGACATTATTTCAGTGACGCTCACCATACTGGTATGTACAAACATCTACTTTCACTTTGCCAGAAAGATGCGTCCATTATGATTTTGAGAAAGCGAAGTCTACCAGCAGTTTCCATTAATCGTATAAGCTACAGATTGGATTATAATTTTTTCATAGTAGATAAGTAAAAAAACACATACAGTTCAGTATGATTTTGATCATATTTTCCAATTAAGAAGTTATCCATACATGTTAATAACCTATTGTGACAAAAAAGGGGGAGATTCAAACCTCTAGAGAGGTATCGCGTGATATTTGACGCACGGATTTGTGGAGATATGTTTTTTTCTTAAAGTAATCTTCTTCATGCATAAGCAAAATGTTTTCACGATCAATAAAGTTCTTAGAAAAAAAGGATTTATCTTAAATACTTTATACAGTGCGTCTATTGACAATCACTATAGAAGGGTTAGAATATTTCGTTTTTCACTGCCATTTTTCTGCTTTTCAAAATTTTAAACCATTTTCAACACTGTATTTTCGAGCATATACTTCGTGGAACGAATATTTCCAAGAGGAACATTAGCAACTGCTTATGCAAGAACGCCACTTAATCAAAGGCAGATCCAAGGCCAGCACCTCGGGAGTGCGCACCACCACCACCCTCGTTGGATTTTTTTTATTTTGTTTGTACTATTCTAAAATCAAGGAAAAACTTGCAATGTAACGCTTTGCAATGTAGGGATGTAATATTTAAATTATTGCATTAATAGTTGAAATGATCTTATGGTAAATATCCATTTAAACTCATAATCTCATATAGTTCCTAATCAAGATTCATATTCAATTTCAAGTTGAACTTTATCGGGACCCGAGAGGGCTTGGCTCGAGTTAGCTGCCTCTCCCAATTTTTTACAAAGATATTAAAATATTTTTGACATAAAAATGGGAAATATGGGGCTAGGATCCATTACTTCCACCAGTGGGTATCATTTTTTGAGCTCAGTGCTCACAGTAGCTCTAGTGTGTAGGGGGGGGGGTCAGTATAATTGGTTCTGTAATGGTGAATATATTATATATTCAATATGAAATAATAAATATCACACAAACTTGTGAAAACGACATAATATAATAAGTCGTTTTCACAAGATAATTTCTCGTTTTCACAAGATAATAAGTCGTTTTTACAAGATAATATCTCGTTTTCACAAGATAATATGTCGTTTTCACAAGATAATAAGTCGTTTTCACAAGATAATATCTCGTTTTCACAAGATAATATCTCGTTTTCACAAGATAATATGTCGTTTTCACAAGATAATATGTCGTTTTCACAAGATAATATCTCGTTTTCACAAGATAATATCTCGTTTTCACAAGATAATTATGTCGTTTTCACAAGATAATATCTCGTTTTCACAAGATAATATCTCGTTTTCACAAGATAATAAGTCGTTTTCACAAGATAATATCTCGTTTTCACAAGATAATATGTCGTTTTCAAAAGAAAAGTCGTTTACACAAGATAATATCTCGTTTTCACAAGATAATAGATATGTCGTTTTCACAAGATAATAAGTCGTTTTCACAAGATAATGTCGTTTTTCACAAGATAATATCTCGTTTTCACAAGATATTATGTCGTTTTCACAAGATAATATCTCGTTTTCACAAGATAATATGTCGTTTTCACAAGATAATATCTCGTTTTCACAAGATAATAAGTCGTTTTTACAAGATAATATCTCGTTTTCACACGATAATTATGTCGTTTTCACAAGATAATATCTCGTTTTCACAAGATAATATCTCGATTTCACAAGATAATATGTCGTTTTCACAAGATAATATCTCGTTTTCACAAGATATTATGTCGTTTTCACAAGATAATATGTCGTTTTCACAAGATAATAAGTCGTTTTCACAAGATAATATCTCGTTTTCACAAAATAATAAGTCGTTTTCACAAGATAATATCTCGTTTTCACAAGATAATTATGTCGTTTTCACAAGATAATTTTTTTTCTGGTATTTAAAAAAAAAATAAGTGCGTGTTTTAAATATACCACCGTAGCATCATTATCATTTTTATAGAGTTTTTTTTCCTTTTTAATGAGAATAAAGAAGGCGAGGAAAAACAAGCCGGGATCGATCAAATCTGCGTGTAATTGTTTTGTTCTGTTATTTTTTTCTTGGACGGAGAGTATTATTCAGCACATGAATTTCTAGTTGACTCATAAAATATGTATAAAATAAAATATTCTTTCAGTAAAATGAGGATGAAACGCAGTGAATATAAGATCCTGGCCGGGGACTAAAACGACAGGAAAACAAATGTTTTATCGTCCAGAAAATTAATTTATTACTTTTAAAGTGCTCTTCTTAATGCATAAAAGGCTTTAGTAATATTGCCGACATCCAAATGATAAATATACACCAACATGTATCTAAATTTTCAGCTCTTACATCTGGTACAGTTCTGATTTACGATAGCATTCTTTGTGCTGGGAGTAGGGGTTTTCTTTGAGGCTATCGTCCATCAGCAGCATGAACTTGAACTGTTCCCGGGAGTGTGGTACGAGTGGCGGATCTGGAGGATCATCTACTACCCCTACTACCAGTACTACGGAGAAGTATTCGATGATGACTTTGGCATAAAGATAAGCAACGATGGTAAGTTGATCTTTCTTTTCTAGTATATTTGTAGCACTCCAAGGTGCAATGGGACTCCAATATTTAACGTTTTTGATGTCATAGTACTACTGCGCAAAAAATGCAATGCCGCATCATGCCAAGGTCTGATTGTTTTAAATACAAGTATTAAATCCAACGACTAACCCCCATCTTCTGAATAGGCACCAGACGTATCCTAATCAGTCGTATACATTGTAATTTTGGGTGTGTGCTGGACTAACTTTAAACAGTCGAATAGTGAGCGAAGACTAACCCTAAATCTCCCAGATGGGTTCAAAGAAACACATTATGAGTCCAATAGTGTTCAAGGACTTACCTTTCTCAATCAATGGTGTGCGAGGACTCGCTTGTTTGTACAAGCAATAATCATTAGAAATTAAATTCACGGGTATTTTGGATATGACATTTAAAAGAGTAGGTCCCTTGTAACGGTTGGTGTTAGCACGATAAAGAACCCTCAATGGTACTGGATTCAAAGTATAGGTCTAAATTTGAAACCCTCACCTGTATTCGATGACATCTTTACATGAGAGAAAATTTCGTTTAAGACGTTAAACAATATATATTATATATAAACATTATAGCTCAAGTACAGTATACTTGGGTTAAATATAAAATGAAGAGTCAATGTGTTAAACAAATATCCTGTATCCTTTAATATTTTACTATCTTTTATAACCGTCAGATGTCGATTGGAGTGTTAAAGCTGTAGCAGCAATACACATGATGGTGGGCAACCTCCTTATAGTAAATCTGATCATCGCTCTTTTTACGTGAGTATTCTGATTAGTCATTAATATTCGAAACTTTTAAAGTCAGACGACACCTTTCTCAAATATATGTTTTGTATCTCTTGGTGGTATATAAAAATAATTCATATTTGTCATTCTCTTCTGATTTCTACATTGTTTTTAAAATGATTTTAAATATAAATACACCAAAAATGATGCTATAGGCCATTCAGAAGATAATCCATGAGTGTTATATATGTGGCCCTGTGGTATCTTGTCCAAATGGCTGGTAAGGTACCCTAATTTTTTGTGAGGAATATTGTTTAAGTACCCAGACTTCAATGACAAATTCTGAGGAAAAAGAGCAATATATGGTAAGTGTCTCAATTGGCCCCTTAAAATGAATATCTTAATTTTACTTTATATATAGCTTTAATTTGTACAGCTATATATGCGACCTTTGTTGGTCATTTTTATTTTGATCAAAATGCCGTTATTTTAGAAATATGACGTAAAAATCACGTTTTCCCGCCATTTTAGCATGTTTTGTAAAAAAAAAAACTGCTAATTTTCAAGCAGTTTTTCTTCCAGAAAATATAGAGTGCAGCGTAGAACAAGCTTTATATTTTTAACAAATATGAATCTATCCAATACTGATTAGTGACATAAAAATTATGTATGACCTACACTGCGCTCTATGTTTCCATTAAGAAAAAAACATCAAGAAAAAGACATATTTTTGACTTTTTTGTTGGATAGCAAAAATAGCATTATTTCTCATGTCATTTACTGCTAAAGAGTGCATATAAATGTGAAAAATATATTAGAAATTTTTGTAATATAATCTCTTCTTGAAAATAAATATCAATTAAACATATCTGAATGTCATTATAAAATGTTGATTTTAGGGGGCCAAAATTGGCTCTTATCATATATACTCCTTACATATTTTTGAAGAACGTGTCGTCTGATCTTAAAATAAACACAACACAGGAAATAGAACAAAAATCCATTGTGTATTGTTTTATTAAAACAGTAATTTTGTGGAAGTTTAAAAAACTTCTTTATTAGTATCCCTTCTATGAAGTTTCTGTTTCCAACACCAAATTTTCATATTTGATTATATTGACACATTGACTTACACAAAAATTCTACTTGTTTAGTCAGAATTTTAAAAGCATGTACTAATTCAATTTACATCTCATAACAAGGACAAAGTTTGAAAACGTTCATGAGAAATCTGCCCTTATATGGCAATATGAGCGGTATCACGTGATTCAGGACTTCAGACACCGGATGTTTGCAAACCTTCACTTCTTTATTCTGCCGTGTCGCCTAGTCATGCGAGCAAGTAAGCTCAGAAGAATCAAAATCAATCTTGTTTTGTAATGATTAATTCATTTAAGAGCCAGTCCGCGAGAAAACCATGCAAAATTAAAAAAATCGTCCAAATGGAAGGTTGCAACTTGGGAGTTTTTAGTGGCTTAAAATTTTCTACATAAAGGTAGAAGTCAGAATATTCACAAAAAAATGTTGAACCCTGCACCTGTTTTTAGTAACAGCTCATCTGCATATTTATCGAAAATCACACAAAATTCAATGGAAAATGTATACAAATTGATCAAGTCAAAAAGTTACCTTTTGTAATCAGTTTATTTTCAAATTTTGTTTTATTTTCAAAGTCATGGTCCAATTAACACAATTAATGAGGAAAAACTGAATTCAAATGAATATTTTATTTTTTACACATCTATTTATAGATCCTAAATAAATGAGTATGATTTTTTAGCCATTTTTAGATGCTCGTTTCTCTCAAGACCAAGGTTGAAATTAAATTAAATTAATTGTTACTTTAAGAATGATCTAAGGTCTACTTTGTATTAAAATATTGAGCTTGGGAAATAATATCTACATGTTTTAAATTAACTTTGAAATACCATATTTGGCTACAATTTCACATATTTTAAATAACAGTCTTTTACCATATTTTTGGATTATTTCTATGATATTTAATTGAAAAACAGAAGATTCTTAATCTAATATATTTTTTAAAAGAGGAATTGTTGATTATTTAGTAAGGAAGTTTCCATATTTTCTAAGCGGATATCAAATAAAAGGATAAGTTCTCAGTTTTGTTAAGTGGTCTTCACATCACGATATAAACTGTAATATATGTACAATATTATTTTCACTGGTCAAATTAAAATTGCAGATGTCTGAGTTTGCAAAAGTGGTCCCTTTGACCCCCCCCCCCCTCAATACCTATCGAGAGGAAGCCCCTTGTCTACCAAAGCTTTGCAGCTCAGGTTCAATATGTGGCTTCACACAAGCCTACACCTTAGCAGAAAGGAATATACGCCACTGATTTCTTATTAAAAATCATCAGCTCAAAAGGAGATGCCACCGATTTAGGTACCCCACCGATATAGGACCCTCCACGTTAAATATTGGCAAAATTATTCAGGGGAGGGCACTCCCCCCCCCCCCCCCCCCCCAAGAAAATATGAGTCGTTACTGCAGCCAAAACTTTGCCAGTTTGCAGTACAAAGTGGTAAAAATTTAAAACCGGCTATAAACATGATAAACATGATAAAAGACTGGATTCATATTCATTCAAATTGGGGGGGGGGGGGGGGGGGGCTTATCAAATTTTGTCGAAATTATTTTCAAAACATTATTAATAAAATTGTATAAGGCTTTGTAAAGTAATATTTGATACTTTTTTCTGAATAACCATAAAGGTATTATTAATACCATTGCAGAAAGAGATAAATTGTTTTTTTAAATGTTATATCACTTATATGTATCCACTGAAAACAGTTGGGGGGGGGGCGTGTCAGTCGATCAAGGTCAGGATATTAAATATACGAGTGTATCTAGTACCCAATCGTTTCACCCCATCCACCTCCCTACAATTTACATACTAATATTGAAATGGATAAAATAATGAAAAATCATAAGGGTTCTGGAGGGGGGTTGCTAAAACGAGGAACGGAAAACGGAACGGAAAACGTATTATATTTTTTATTTTAGATTAAATCACTTCATATACACAAATTTATAAACAATATATATTTTATAAATTCAATCCCCCATTATTTAATTCAAGTTGATTTATTCGTGTTCATAAAATCTCTTATTCACGAAAATCGCAGTCATAGCAGTGATATAGAAACGATTTTAAAGGGGGGGGGTAAAATTAAACTTACCTGAAAAGAATATTTGCCAAGCGAAAAAAGAAGACAATTGTTTGATTCGGGAAGTGGAATAAGAGTAAACTCCAGCATCTTTCATTTTCTTAAACTCCTTTATGGAGTATTTTGTATAACATCTCCTGTTAGTATTTTTAAAAGATTGTACCAATTTAAAATTGGCAGAAAGCAAACAACTTAGTGAAGGCTCAAATTTTATATGTTCAAGTCTCAAAATTTATATGAATGATACTGAGAGTCTGTTTGAATTTAAATACTTGTAATTTCCCTTTTATTAATTAAAAAGATACTAACTTACTGAATACAAAATGTAAGGAACATGAATATTCATATGATTGTTTAAAAATTGCAAGTAAGCTTTTTTTCATTTCTAAACAATTGGCAAAATGCTAATCCTCATATTAGGGGTAATTTCTGACAATTTAGTTTAATTTAATTTTTAATTTTAATATTTTTCAATCTTAATTATTATTTCAAAGAAAATTGTTACATGTTTCAATATCTAACATAAATTGTTTATAATTTTAAGTACTATATTTGACTTTGTAACCCATTTGAGTTTGAGCAATTTTTTCAAAAATTGGCAATATGTAAATCCCCATATCTCAATTATTTATTATATCCCAAGCTCAATATTTTGCAAAGATAATGTTTAGAGTTATATTTGTACAATAAAATCAAAAAAATTAATTTCAAAGATTGGTCTTGGAAGATTTGGGGCATTAAATTTGTAATGCTTTTGGCAATTCTTGAAAATTGGCATCATGCCAATTTTCAAGAGTTGTCTGCCCTTTGATATATTGCATATTTGATTATGACAAATGTCAATTTTGAAAGAACATAGTCTTATGTTACTTAAAAATACCTTAATGGAAATGCAAGTTTAATTTTGAGTAAAATGAATTAAATGTGAATTTTACCATTTTTCTTGATTTTTTTTAAGTGCACTTGTACTTAAATGTGCAAAAAGGAGTTGGCGCTGCCTACGGCTGCCATGTTGAATGATGGGGATTTTTTTTGCCATTTTTGAATAACATATTATAAAGTCAAACTACCCACCAAATTTCATTAAGATATGACAACCTTCGATTTGGACAGTTCTGCATGGTTTTCTCGCGGACTGACTCTTAATATCTCAAGCAATTTACAAGTGTGAAGATTGATTTATATTACCTAATATTGATGATTAATTAATTATATTTAAAATTTTATACTATTTACAAGTGTGTAGATTTCTTTCTCATTGATAATTAATTCTTAATTTTCAGAGTCTGCCAAATACAGTGATAAGATCAGAAAGGAATTAAAGCGTATTCGTGAACGTCAGATTCTCCAGTACATTATGGCGGGGAGATCCCTGGGCAAGTGACGGGAATAATAACGAACCCTATAATAAACCAGAGTGTGATCACATATGGCGATAAAAGTATTCACATTATTCCTAAGATGCTCCAAACATTTGTTTAGATAGAAAAGACCACTTAGTATATATAAAGCTTTTAAGTTTGAAATATAATTTTACTGAGTATGATTTGAAAGAAGAATGAAGATCAAAGTCAAAGTGGTCTTTCAACAAAAAAAAAGACTAATGGTAAAGGAATGGACTCGTTAATTGGTATATACTTTTAAACAAATACCCGGTGTATATACATGTAATGCATGCAATGTTTGTATATTAAACCTGTTAAAAATACGAATCTTCCAACTGGTATTCGAATATGCCATAATCCTTGTTAATTTATATTATATCCTCTTTATATTTTCTGTAAAACTCCATGTTACATTTGCTTATATTTTTCTTGTTCTCTTGTTTTTGTTTATCTTTTCCCTTATGTTTTTTGTGGATTTTGTTGTCTTTTAATGCATTTTTTAAAAGTTTAGTTTTAATGTTTGCAATCATCATTTAACTCAGATCCTTTTTAAGTATGTACTAAACTGAAAGCATGTGATGGTGTGTTTTTGACCCAAGCTTGTATCTTTTTTTCATAATATGTTTTCCCTCTTACATGTAGTATATGAAGCTTTTTTCTTTCAATGTATTTTGACTTTAAGTACAGTCCTATAGGAAAATTATAAAAATCATACTAGTAGTTTGAAAAGCAAATATGAAATGTATTTCAAACATGGTTCAAAATATTCATTTTTAGAATATTCATTTTTACGTACCCTTTTTATTAGTACGTATATTAATAATAATATTTACTATTTCAATATTTTTAATCATTCAGATGATGTAGAACAGAATTCAATCTCAAAGTCTATCAAACAATACAAAATAGGAGCATAGCAGACAAGGACCTCCGAAACATCAGAGATGGGATCAGGTGCCATGGAAGAGTGAGCAACCCCTGCTGACCGGTCACACCCGCCGTGTGCTCCTTGTCATGATCAGGAAATAGCGGAAAAATCCGCCGTCAATTCAGTGTATAAATAATAGGACTAACAATAAGTATTAAAAACGTCAGTCAGCATTTTGACTCAAAGATAAATTGTATTTGCTGACAAGGTCATTGTATCGTCCATAGAACGTACAAAATGATGACTTTAAACGAGACTGCTGATATTCTTGTATCATTAACAATAATTTACCTTGTTTTCTTTACCTCAGTTCAACGTTGACTATTTAAGTAGGTTGGGGTCATTAAAAATCTTATTCTCACGAACCACTGGTCTAGAAAAGTTGGTTCTTATGTGGAAGCATCCTTGGGTAGTGTAGATTCTAGATTGTTAAAATAATGACCCCAGTGGGTAGGACTGGTCCACAATAGGGAATCCAAGTTTTACATAGAAATATAAAGGACAAACTTTTAAAATTTTATTCTCAAACACCACTGGGTCAGAAAACTGAAACGTATGTCGAAGTTTCCTATGATAATGTAAAATCTAAATCTTGAAGGATGAAGATGAATCTTTTGTTTTAATGTATATATGATACTAATATTATTATCAGGAAATTGATAACTACAG